CGGAGCCAAACATCATATGTAAAGTTAGCATTTGATTATTGCATAAATGAAAAACTAGTAGTATGAATGATCCCACTATGCTGTGTTAGTGAACCAGCAGGCTCATTACCGGAGCCCTGGAATAACAAGTCATTCTTAATGTCATGAATCACATCTGTGCTAGTGCAACAAAATCTCTGTTGTGAAGAAAACATTATAACCTAATAACATATAAGTATTTAGCATTACACTTTTCAGTAGAAATAGAGGAGCATGGAATATAGGTTTACTCTTCTTTTTGCTCTTCTTTAGACAAGATTATGTGAGCTTTGTAGACCGTTGACAGTCTTCACTATAGGACGGAAAAGAAAGGCTGTGAAACTGTACTCTGACGGAAGGCTTCTCTCCACTCATTTCCCAAGCGAGCTGTGCCAGGAAACCAGCGGGTGCAATACCAGAGCCCAGTGAAATGAAAACCTTAATGGAACGCTGCTGTTGTTAATGTCATTAATTACACCTGTGTTATTCCTGCAATATGTCAACGTATCTGCTGTGAAAAGAGACCCATTACCACCCCGTAAAATAGCTAATGGGTCTCACATTTGAAATTATAATTCTTGGTAGACACAAAGCAGGATGGTGGTTAAATAGTTCCTGCTCTTTTGATCACTCCTCTGGATTCCACCAAGTGTATGTAAGCTTGGTAGATATTCCTTCTTTTTTCACTTGCTCTAGTTGCTTTTTGCTAGAACAACATTAAATAGAATAAATGCATTTACTCACCTTTTAACACTGGTTTGGTTTCTATTAAGTTAGGGTATAACTTGTATTTTCATTAGCTGATAAATTATCCACTGTATAAATGATCCACCTAGCTGGCTAAAGCTGGTTTACAATTTTTTGGTGTTGCAATTGGATTCATATGAAAATACAATTTAGGGGAGCTTTAACAGACCAACACATTGAGTGTGCATGTTTTATGGCACCAAGTTTACAAGAAGAATGTGGAGACTAACATATAAAAGCTGTAGAAAACAGAGAAAAAAACACCTTGGAAAAACAAATGTGTGGAATTTAGTGTGGAATGTAATGTCAATATACACAAGATATTCTCCCAGTTATTGGAATCTAAGTATGTGTGTAATGCTCACTTTGTTACAGATTTATTCATTTTTGCCTTAAATGTATTATTATCATCTGCATGGCATTGAAAATATTGATGTGACAGTATTGAGTGTAGACAGCATTCCTCTACCGTTCCTCCTTTAGTCCCTCTGTCCCTAAGTCAGGGGTGGGATAGGATCGGGATACGTCTAATTCATTTGATGAGACATGGAGCATAAACACTTTGCCCTGCAATTAGAAAACGTACACGGTTGCGAGCGGAAGCAGCAGCCGGTCTAAAGCTGTCAGACCGTCAGGGGCTGAATCAACGCAACGAGCCACCGTCCTCACTCCTCCCTCTAACCCTCCATCACAAACGGACTTATGCATTCTGCAAATCTTCTGTCTTGTTTTTTCCAACACCTCAATACACACCACCCTTTAATTAGTGTCCAATGGAATATATTGTACAAGCTTGTGCTTTAAATAGGGGTAAAGGGAGGGATATTGACTGACGGGCTACATAAAGATCACATAATATAGGACCACGGAGAACAATTGTAATCTGTAATTCAACCTCCATTTGAAGCACCTGGTTTTATAGTGCCATAGCCAAACATGAATACTTTCAAACTTTGTGTCTTTTTTATTTCCTTTTTAGATGATACTCTATATCAGTGGTCCCCAACCTGTTTTACCTCACGGACCGTTTCCATGTCAGACAATTCCGGCGGAATAACGGGAGTGGTAGTAGTCGTTGCGGGCGGAACGACCGACGGGGGGGGATGTAGTAGTCGCACGCTCTGTGTTCGCTGGTGGCTGAAACTGTAAGAGGACAATTGTAAACGTGAAGAAAAACGCCTGGTGACGCGTGGGGAATCTGTCAGAGGGACGAGCGCACATAATTAGTAGAAAAGCCGGTCAATTTTCAAAATAAAACATTTTTCAGAAAAAAAAAATATATATATATATTCTTTCTGTGGTGCGGCCCGGTGGTTGGGGACCACTGCTCTATATCACTACACACTGCTTTTAGCTGCCATTTTAAGTGCTACTAAGCCTATAAGGACAATTGTTGTAATGGTGTCTTTTTTGACTCTGCAGAAGATTCAGTTATCTTTGGCTTTACAAACTCCACATGTTGAACAAGAGGTCTAACTGGCTGTGAATTGAAAGAAGTGGGCTGCAATGGATAGATTTACTGGGTTGCAGTACGAAAATGTAGTATGGTTTTAGAGCGTGACTCACGAGGGCATTCGTACCCTTATTGGAGCAACTGAACCCTGCAAGCTTCATCAGGGCATTCACCGAACCCTTCGTTATTCACAAAATCAAATACGATTTTGTAGAACATAGGTATATATTTTATTAGTGCACGAAATGAAATGCATCAGTTGCACACAAAGTCACAAATCATGAATTTCACACAAAAACATAACTCAGTGAAAATTTACTGCAAGACAATATTACTTTTGCTGTTGCCTTTCAGCTTTATCGTGGCATGGGCCACTCTCATATCATTTTCGCAGAAAAGTCTGTTCCTTTTCTTAGTTCTTATGTCTAGCATCCTCAAAAAGGATTGCTCGCAAAGATATGTTGTAACCAACGGTGTGAGAATCTCAAGGGCTTTCTTAGCAATAAGAGGATATGGTACTATTTGGTGACACCAAAACATTGAGAACTTTGCTCTGCTCGAGTTCATTGGTTTCGTCAAGGTACTCACTGTTGACGTCGGCTTTCACTAAACGTGAACAACTGCCTCACCCGTGCCGGATATGACTCTCTGGTGGGAGAGCATGACGTCAGGAATAATACGAGTGGGTGGAATTTATTTTTACTAAGCAATTAAATATTTCTAATCTAACACAGCAAAAAAAAAAAGATTTGTTGCCAAATTGTTGGCAGACATACTTGGTGTGCTCCAGACGATGTCCCCATCAGTGTTTTAAGGTGTTGTTTTGTGAAGTCCCCCTGTTATTTACACTAAGCAACATTTTGCTTTCCACTCAACTTTAAAAACGCTACAATTTCTATAGAAAAACAACCAACAAAATGCTAATTCATTTGGAAAGAAAGATCAAAATGTATCCTAGTATGAATGTAGTCTCAATTAATCACCTGCAGCCTTTCATTCAGCCTGAGCCTGAGTTCCCGCCGCTCCCCCACCACCTCAGTAGTCCCCTTTCCCTTCTGCCTTCATCTACGACAGATGAAAAGCAGAGCACAGAGGAAGTGCCACATCGTGCTGCACCGCGCCATCCGAGCTGGCAGCACAGCAAAGGGTCCAAACAACTTCTTTCCCCAAACAGTCGCCCATTCCAGCTCACACTAATTGGTTGCAAATGCCTTTTGGGACGAGCCACGGCTGGCTGTGAGCGGTTTGTATACACAAGGCTCAGGCTCTTTAATTCCCCCATGATCAATTTTTTAGGATTTCCATCCCGTTAACAGGAATTCTGTTTGTGAAGGCGTTGGACAAATGAAGCAGTTTTAAATTCTGTTATATGAACCTTTTGTTGGCGTTTGTGACTTTAATGCAAAGATCTATTGACAATTATCTGACACTTGTGAGCATTTGTGGATTGGGGTGTTCCCTTGAACCTTAATCATGCCGAGGGGTCCTTCAAGTGCAGAGACAGCGTTCCTTTCTCAGGGATCCGACAAACAGAATTAAAGTACATTGATGTGTGATGGCCTGTGCAATTGACTTCTGGTAAACATGTCTGTGGTGCTCCATGTCACAGAATGCTTTTGTCATGATGGTTTCTAACCTCAGAAGAGCATCTTTTCATGTTTGTTTCCGTCCGCTTTTGGGCTTTTCAAAGCGCACTTGCTTCTGAGCCCAAATGGCGACATTTGTAGATAGAAGGCCTCCGTTGTTTTCTGGGTGCTTACATTTTGTAAAACATAAGCTAGGTTTGTGGTCGTTGGCAGGACTATTAAGTCCTGCGACTTTGCGTGTGGTCATGTCTCTGCAATGCAAGTTGTAACAGAAGTGTTTCTGTTAAGGGAAGGGCTGGAGGCCACTACCGCGGACTTCAAATATCTTTGAGGATATCAGACAGACATGGAACGTTGAACCTTGATAGAGCAATGGTGTGAAATGAAATGAGAGAGAGTGTGGGAGACAGGAAGAGAGTGAAGAATGGGCTGATGAACAGGGGGATGGAATGTAGGGTTTAAGGCCAAACGGAGCGCTGTGTTCAACAAGTTGTCAAGTCATACTGGCATTAGGAAGAGACAGTGTGAGAGGGACACGGTCTGTGGACACATCCAGCCGGACGGCCGGGCGGATACCTGCATGTCATTGTTACAGAGGGTGAGGGGTGGAGGGTAAGGGGGTTCGGGGGGGCTTGCCGGATCTCATGCTGTTCACACGGAGGGGGGAACTGTTTGCTGAAGTGGCTGCGCATGGCAACCACTTGTGAGCTGCTTCTGTGAAAGCCCTGCGCTGGCTCAGCGCGGAGGTGGGGAGGGTGCATCCACAGACAAATAAACACCGGCTGACACCCTCCTCTCCTCTCTCCCTGCCCCCTCCCTTAACTAGCATCCCCCATTTCTGCAATGCAATGCCGCCTGGTTGATCAATTCGCAGGCATCCAAACTAAAAAGTAAAGCACTAGAACACAATTAGCATCATCTGATGTCCAGATATGAGGAACCTCTGCTATCTTTTGACAGGCCGCTACCTGCCTGCAAAATGAACAGCTGTACTAAGTAGCCATGTTAGTTGTTTGCATTCGATACAATCATTTTGTAGGGAGACGCTTTGGAGGTAAACCTGATGGGATCAGTGTTGCTGAATGCTACTTTCTTGCTAGACTTAGCGACTACTTAGCGAGTGCTGCAAGCTTCTTTAATTGGAAAAGAAAAGCGTACACTTGGAGTTTCTAAACGACACCAACTTTCTGCTTCAGACATGGACGAGTGTGAGAACGACTACAATGGGGGCTGCGTGCATGAGTGCATCAACATACCTGGCAACTACAGATGCACCTGCTACGACGGATTCATGCTGGCCCACGATGGACACAACTGTCAGGGTAAGGACATCCCTCTTCTTTGTGTGTGTCTCCTTTAACAGGGCTAGACTAAATGACCAAAGGGACAAAGTACAAAACATAATATTAAAAGTCTGTTATCTGCTTAGATGTGGCCTCATTCATTTTTCCTCTGGTATTCAGTATTAAAAAAAATGTGCTTCCCATTTGTTTTAAAAACACTATAGACCGGTGTGACTCCAGTAGGTTTTGGTTTATATAAAATTAGGATCAGACAGTTCAAAGCTTCATTCCTAATGCAAATTATTATTATTATTATTTTAATCATTACATATCACAGTGTCTTCCCCCACATGTTGTTTAAAAAAATATTCTTCTACCGTAAGAGAAATGAACATAAAACCCCACCTTTGAGGCTAAACCAATTGAATATATTTCTTATTGTAAATGTACCTATTAGTAAACCTAATTCACCAATTCAGGGAATATACATCTGAGGTTTTTATTATTAAAATAAAAAAAACCCTCTCCCAGCTCGCAATTTGTTTTACTGACAACAGACCTAAAATGCGTATATGTATAACTCTGCTGTGTGTCTTGTTTATCGAGTATTTGAGGGCGTGTGCATTCATCTGAATCATTACATGATTGAATATGTCCAAGCTTAAGAGAGTATGCTTGAGGGTGCGTGTGTGTTCCTGTGTGTGTGTGTGTGTGTGTGTGTGTGGCTTAGCTCATCCATTCACTGGAGAGTCCCTCCATCATCGTTTGGAGACTTTCCATGATCTCTGCTGTTTTGGTGCTTGTTTCTCTGGGCTGTTGGGAGGGCGTTAGGGGTTGAAGAGTTCTCCTACAGAATTCTGGCTGTGTTTACCACTGAAAGATCCATCCCCGTTTCGCCCTGCTGCTGCACTATTGACTTAGCGTCAGTCAAAGTAATGTTTTTTTTTTCTGCCCCGTGCAACATGCAGTCCTGCACAAGATGTGCTTGAACACATCTCATCCTGTAAGTCTCCCACTGCTGACTGACGAGAACATAACACAAAAAAAGAAGCGTGTGGTGTGTCTGTTTTGGCATTTGTAAGTGTGCCTCATCGCTTGAGCCCTTTGGAGAGATTGAGTGAGAGATGGAGCGCTAAAGGCAGCAGCTGGCAGCTCAGAGGAAAGCTGCCCAGTTGTGGGTTCATCTCACAAGGGATGAATTTAAGACAGCTGATATAAAGAATAATAATAAGCCAAATAAAATTGTTCCTGCACACACAAACAAGGGCCAGGCATGTTCAATGAAAGCACTATTATAAATCCATCCCCTGTCTGAGTTTCCAACCTGCCCCCGTGGTTTCTATTGGAATAGTCCAGGGTTTCAAACATTGTTGTACAGATGTTATAAGAGATAAACGATGAAAACAAAACAATGCCAAATTGAATTGTGAAACAAAAAGAGGTATTAGTCACTGAGCATGTAAACAATCCATTACATAACATGACTCTCTACTGAAGAAACAGTTGTTATTTATTCATGCACCATTTAACCTTTTAAATGCATCAACAAATTGGTTAAAACTAGATCAAGAATTAAAATCCCAGTATAAAGTCTTTCAAATAAATGCAGCCCGATCCAGCTCTACGAGTCATTATCGCTCAACCCGCAGTAACATATTAAATAAAACGTGAAAGCAAAGGGTAAAATGACATTATGCGGTTTAATCCTACTGATTAACAGCGAATTTCTGTTTAAACGTACAGCAATGACTTTCCTTGTTTTGGTTCTTCGTAAGAGGAAGTAGTGTGGCATGGAAATTACACCAGAACAGACAATACAACTGTGCATCTTTCGACCTATTAAACTATTTTTTGAAATCACATTTAATCAAGCGGGCTAAAATGCCACATGGGGCCAGAAAACCTAGCAAGTCAGCTAGGATGGAAGTATAGCCAAGAAGTGAGCACACTTGTTTCCTTGTTGTCTCTGCTGAGAGCTGCACATGTGCGGTACCATTCGCATAATAGCACAATATGAATAAGCGAGCTATATCATATACGTACCATATGTTTTTGTAGTTGTTTAACGATATTAGCGCTGTGTGCTAAGAAGAAACTTTTCTAGTGTAAATATGGTCACTGCAAAACTGTTAACATTAAATGTTATGGAGTCAGCACCTAGAGGCCATTAGTGGAACAGTAGTCATAGATATTCCTCCAGAGCTTTAGCGGTTGCTTATTTCCCGTTAGCTCATCTGGTAACTTTGACTGTCTACGTTAGCTTGCTGGCTAGCGGCCGGGTTGCTCTGTGTGTTTTGGTTAGCTAGAGAAGCAGGGGTGTGAGGTTAGCGGGATTCCGCAACACGTGTTCATGGTTCCAATTCAAACGATTCCAATCTGCCATTTACTGCCTGTCGAGAGGAAGCCAGCCCACGTCTGACTTCAACCCGGAGACGTGCTTTATTGGATACTCGCTGGATGCGGCCCTAATGAACCGCGGCTGATTGGAAGCAGGTTACTGAGTTCAAACGAGGCGATAAAGCGTGAAATCAGACACAAGGTTGTGTGATCCCAATTTTTGTTTTTCTCATTTCCTTTCCTCTTGTATTCTTCTCTCAGAGGGGATAAGGTTACGCTCTATTTGCCATGTTTATTTTATAACATCTGTGTTAAAACAGAGGGCCAAATTCCTCCTTTCCCTTCTCCTTCTTTATATTTTTCTGTCACTCTCCCTTTTTCTCCCTGACTGTCGCTTTTGGTTTCTCTTACTTTGTCATGCTCATAATTTCATCAATAAACTTCTTTTTGTCTCTTTTTTGTCTTTCTCTTCTTCCTTGGTTCTGTTAGATGGATTCTGTCTGTCTGCTGACCTTCTACTAAGCTTTCATCCGATTACCCTAATAGCTGTCTAGTGTTCGTTCCTCTCCTCTCTTCTCTCCCAGCACATTTTAAATCTATTTGTGTGATGGATCACTGAGTGTTTTCACTGCACTTGAACCATCATCAAGTAGCAGCTACAGGCTGGCCGAACACTGGGTTTATGTTAGAAATACAAAATTCAATGTTTCCATTCACATACTTATATAAATTTGAATGTATTGCATGAGAAACGCTACTTTGATATGGCAAAATATGAAAAGAAAATCATTCTGCTTTTTACTTTCGATCAGTTCATAGTGAACGCGGCAAATTAACTTTGGAAACATTAACTGACACATACGTAACATTAAACTAACATGAGTGATCAGCTGTTTCTAAGATCTAAGAAGACGTCGTCTTTGGTTGCGGGCCTTGGGGACTTTGGGGACGAAACATGGCCAATACTAGCTGACATGAAAGGACAAAAAAAACTTCCCCATCTTTTCATTTCTCTCTTATTCAGCGAAAACCTCTGATCAAACTACGCTGAGGGTCAGTTTGTTTGCTCCAAACCAGTGAAGGGAAATCCAAAAAAAGCATTTACCTTTATTCATTGTGGGTGAGTGGGGAGCACGGTCGTCCTCCAATCAGAGGGTTGTGGGTTCGATCCCAGGCCCGGCTAACCCGCATGTCGTTGTGTCCTTGGGCAAGACACTTAACCCAACATTGCTCCTGTAGCTGCGACTACAGTGTATGAATGGTAGTTACTGATGGCAGGTGTCACTGTGTATGGTTCTCCTGTCATCAGTGTATGAATGGGTGTGAATGGGTGAATGATGTCATGTAGTGTTAAAGCGCTTTGAGTGGTCGAAAGACTAGAAAAGCGCTGTACAAGTACAGTCCATCATTTAAAAAGTTTGCTCAAAATTGGCTCAAGCATTGAATGGAAAGACAACTATTGGAAAACAGTTAAAATCTACCCTAATCCTTTTCTGTCAAGCCCTCTTTGATGATAAAGCGACATTGCAGCTCCACCCCTCCCTCGCCCCACCGCCCGCCAGGATCCTGCCCGCCAGCATCGTGCCCTTCCTCCTGCAGCACCATGCCGTTTGTCCGCCGGCATCTCGGTGATGAATGTTGCATCGATGCAAGGCCCAGAGGAGAATTCTTGGTGGATAGTTTCTGGTTGATTCAATGTGGACAGAGTGTCTGGGCTGTGTCTGAATACTGTAACAGGAACGTCTTTTCCCCTAAATCTGCTCTTGCTTTGGCATTGCCAACACTTTCAAAAGTAATGCAAGATACTGATGCACCAAGGCACCATTGAGTTTCTGTATGACACACCCCGGGCTTTCAACAAACAAACTGGACTGCACATTCACTCAGGAAGCAGCTGAATCGATACGCCCTGAAAATGAAATGTCAAAACTGTGTAAACTAGAGACTCGGGGCCAATGACTGAGTGGATTTTTTTTAGTTGTCATTCCAAATCAACTGTTCTTTAAGGTGAACTTGCACCTGCAGTTTGCAGTTTTACAAGCTTGGTTGTTTTTGGACCAGGGGAATGCTTACTTCTTGTACACTCTGCTGTGTGTTCATCTCAGATGAAACAACCTAAAATGCGCGGTTGATATTTAAGAAAACAGACTGCACCAGTCTTGTTTTAATCAAAGCCTGCCTTATGTGGCTCACTCTTTTTTGTGAGCTCTTTTTTTCTTTTTTTTATCAGTATGTCCGTGTTAGTGCTATAGCTAATGTTGAAACAAAATACTTGAATTTGACATTTCAAAGCTCATAACATACTAAATATTAGAACTTCTGGGAGAGGACGTAGCTATCCAGGTGATTAAGTTGTATTTCAGGTGTGAGGTTTGTATGATCGATATTTAGCGCACTTTGAGGAGACATAAACAACGGAGCAGAATGTAATGCGTTCCTGGGTATCCACTCACGGACATCGTCACCAGCATCCGATGCTTTATTATCACTGTCATCACTGACTGCAGAGTGCCTGTGATGCATGGTAACCCTACACACAAGCCTCTGAGAGACTGACACGTTGGCCTATTGTCAAACCGCAGTTCAAGCACGGCTCCAACCGTCACGCCGCCCGTCAACAAGGACCTCAGTGTGTGAAATGACTGTAAGGCTCTCAAGTGTCTCATTGAGCAGGAGAATGACCAAATGAATGATGGCAAACGATCACACACGTTCCTCCTCCTAATTTATACTGGCAGTCTTTTTAACACCCAGAGACTTGTCTCTCGCACTCGGAGCTGTCATAACAACGCACGTAAATCAGTCGTGATGAGTTCAAAGATGCAGCAAAATGAAAAATCATGTGTCTTCCACGGTCGGTAGAAACTCTTCTGCTTTCAGCCTCATTAATCATAATGTCAGGTCCATCAACAGAAGACCTTTGTTGCAGTGAGCTTTTGGGTTCAAATTGAACACCGAAGGTGAGTGATGTTGTGTAGTGTGTAACCATTCAGATCTTAAATCCAAAGTGTAACAGCTCCGTCTGAAAACAACATGTTGTATCCGACTTGTTTGTTTCTTTGTCAGAGTTCACACTCAATTTATTTCTTTACTTTTCTCGCACGCTCTGGGCTTCCTTGTGAAAAGCAACAAAGACTCTGTGGCTTTCAATAGACCCAAAGCAAGATATTGAGAAACCTCAGAACCTTGTGGTGTCCTGAAACAGACTCCGATGACAAAATTGGGTTGGAAAAAAAAAAGATGAAATGAATTAATTTGCGTGAGCTGGCAGGAAGTCACTCTATCGTGTCCCACATGCACTGTCAACAAGTTTGGCACTAATTGATTTAAGATTGCGTAATTGTGCTCTGATCAAAGAGCGGCTCTGTTTCAGGTCCTTTCTTCCTTTTTATTCTGACTTTATTTATTTGGTTTTGACATGGACACAGCTGGGCCCAATGTGTCGATCTTTTGGTGCCCTCTGTGCACCCCCGGTGCGCCTTGCGATAGTTTATTTTCCTTCTAATGCGTCCTTTTGCGTCCACGGCGAGATCTGAGAGGTGGTCGTGGCGCGTCGTGGAGAGATCCAGCACGTAACGGACGGGAGGTGGAAACAATGAGCCGGATAAACTGAGGCAAAGTTTGAAAAGCTATCCAATGCAGATTGATGAAAGACTTTCAGCTTTTACAAAGACGTGTTTATGAACACTGAAGAACCTTCTCTTGCTGTGAGGCCTCCTGTTCATACTAACCCACTGTAAGTTATAGTCGGCAACATGTAATTACACAATAAATAAAAATATTTATAAATGTGCAAAGCCGTGAAGTGTGTCTGCGGGGGCAATGGCACTTTGGATCCCTACTTCTGTTGCCCATCGTGGAATACGCGCTTGCCTGAAATAAAATGTCTCTCACTAAAGTGGAATAGCACTGTGTTGGCTGCAGCGTAACTAAATAATCGGCTCTCATCCGAGCCCTAGAACAGCAGTCTATCTTCTATTTGTATCCTTCTGTCCTGTGTTTCAACAAAACAACTGCATAAGTGCACTAATTTTGGTACCATATGGAATGAATATCACAGACTTCTACTTTTTGTACTTTTTCCTTGACATCACACTAGAAATCAATTGCCTGGAAGACATTTTGAAATGACTTTCTTCTTCTCTTAGTATCTTTACTCAGTCGTTTGTTTTCTCACCCTCACTTATTGCTCTCGCTTCCCTTAAGCCTGTTCGTCTCCTTCCCCTGATGTGTCAAGCACATCCTCGTTGTGTCTAAACAAGATTGTACGCAAGTTTACACGAGCACAATCAAACAAAATAGAGGGGCTCCAGTTGAAACTTGCAAAATGGCCCCTTGTGTTTATGCAGTGATATTGGCAGAGATCAGTTGGACTTGGAGATGGCTGTATTTCTTCTCTCTCTCTCTCTCTCTCTTTATCAAGCCTGGAAATGAAATGCATTAGTGATATTTATGACATGAGATTCGCTTAAAACGCCGTTTGGAAGTGAAATGAAAACAAAGCCTGCAGTTCAGCGAGGACACTTATACGCCGGTATGTTTACACAGGAACTGGACATTTCTGGCCGAATAAGTGTGTGACAGACTGAAGACAACCTTAAGTTTGACTTTAGTCTCGTTATGCACCATCCTTGCTACATTCAGTGAAAAGCCAAAGTGATGCACCTCTGCATTAGTGTATTGAGTAATTGAATTGTTGTTTCTTCTAATTTGCAAGTCTTTTGATAAGATTGGAATCTTCAAATATGGGATAACAAGGTGTGGGAATTGAAGGGTGGTAAAAGGGGATAAATGGGTACAGGAGAGTTTTCAAGTTTGGGCTATAACAGCAGTAACTACAACAGTATGTGTTGTGTCCCTGCACACGTGCAACCATTCTCTTTCCATCCTCTGTTTTGTAACCCTCTTGAAGGAGCTCAGTCTAGGGCTCTATAACTAGAGGAGCCTCAGTTCCCAAGGTCTCATTAGAGCTGATCTCCTCCCTCCGAAATCCATGTGAATGACGCTTTCAGTAAACTGTTAAGAGAAGAAAGGAGACAGATGAGTATAGGAAATACCGAGAGAAGGGATGATGTGCAGCAACAACAGTATTCTTTGTAGCTAAGTTACTATTGAGCAAACACGGACATGGACATGGTTTCATCTTGTTAAGCCCTCGTTTTTACTTTCATAACGAAACAACGGCTTTTGTCAAGTTTAGTAGACCAACGAGCAAAACATGTCTTGTCTCAACAACGATTCCTCCTCTCTACCAGGCAGGAACCTGCATATCTTAAAAGTTAAGCCAATGCCAAAGTGTCAGCAGGGAAACACTCCACTTTGTTGCAAAGAAGTCCTATTGTATAGAAGTCCATTAGAGACTACTACCTGTACTACTACTACTACTTCTGTCTTGATTTATTCCATCAGTAAACATTGCAGACATGACTTCATGGTATCAATCTTTAGTTTCCATACAGCACAATGTTCATTTAGTAAATGATGGGCTATTGAGAGTCAAATAGACGATAACGCAGCGAAATCATAAGGACGGGGCTACTGGCCGTTGTCCAATCTAGAAACATTAGTTCTTTAATAAGAAAAGTGAAGAACCAAGATGGCGATGGCAAAAATGCTCAACTCAAAGCTTCAAACGGCAGTCCACAAACCATTAGGTGACACTACTGTGACAAGGTCAACTATTACAGTCTATGTGCAAGACCATATGTTGGGCCAATCGGATCTTAGACCGTACTCACTTGATAGTTGATGCATCCCGCAGGAACATTGGGAAAAATCCTATTGGATAAACAAGAGTAACAATGGTCTTAAATAAGCCAATCAGAACTTGTACACTTTGGAGGAACTCTTCAAGCTGTACTTTAAAACATCGCCCTGTACTTTGTCCCTCTAATGACATATGTGGCTTTTGTCCTGGCTTGATGGTAACCATTAGATAAAAGTATAGTTTAGGCGCGGGTAAAACTAGACTGGACATTGTGTCCAGCGCGATGAATGCATAGTTGTTCTATTTTCTCTTTCTTTCATCTTTTCCAGCATGTCTGTGTTTGTGTAACCTGCCTGCACTGTCAGAACATCAGACTAAACACCGTGGAAAGTCATCTAAGTGAGGCACTGGGCACTCCCTCTCCCACACACACACACAGACAACAAAACACACACAAACGCACACACACGGGCAGTGGTGTTTGATCTTTGTTAAAGTCAGTTGAGGGGGTTACAAGTTTGCAGTTCACTACAGCCGCTCATCAAAATGTACTGGTTCTTCACCGGCACAGCGGGGGTCCTATAACCCCCCCCCCCCCATCAGACGCACACCCACACACTTGCACAGCCTGATGCTACTAGTTTGCACAGCCACCTTCGGATGCCTTGATCAGGCGCCTGTTAGCACTCCCTGTCTGCCTTGTTTGTGTGTGCACGTAAGCACGTGTGAGCCTCACATTCCCAACTCCGACGTCATACCTCTCATCAGACATTTTCTGGATCATGGACTTGTTTTTGAAGCCTATTGGAATCTGCTTTACCGTGGTGCCGGGATTGACTTTATCTCTCTCTCTCTCTGTTGTTCTGCAATCCTCACAGATGTTGACGAGTGCGCGGACAACAACGGCGGGTGCCAACAAGTGTGCGTCAACACCATGGGGAGCTACGAGTGTCAGTGCACAGACGGCTTCTTCCTCAGCGACAACCAGCACACCTGCATCCACCGCTCTGATGGTAGGACTGGAACAGAGACGCTGAGTACATTCAGAATGGTTTTCGGACGCTTTTTGGAACGCAATCATTTGAGAGAACCGCAGAAAACCCGTTGCGGTTTGTTTCAGGGTTATGTAAAGTTTCAAACTTCCATCTTAAACTAAACAAAGTGTTTACATTCTCTAAAATAGTTTGGGTTAACTAGATGAAGTTACTAGAATGGGTTGAGAATGCTATATAAAATGTGTTTATCATTGGTGTAATGAATCTGTACAAGGTTCCTGGAAGGAAATCGAAAGAGCAGTGCTGCTTTGCTTTCACTGGTGTAGCATTGAGGAAGGAGTTAGGCCCACTGTTTCTGACAGAATGTTTTAAAGACAACTCAAAGCAATGACATTCTCATTGTATTACAAGGCATGGCTTGCAGAAACGTTTCTGTAAACCTGATTCTTTCAGACTGGATAGATGAGTTGATGGGCCCTCATATAGAAGTAGTAGTATCAAATGTCATCAGTTGTGGTACTGGTAGTTCTAGCAGTAGTTTTGGTAATAATAGCAGTAGAAATATTAGTAGTACAGTAGTAGTTTTTGTAATAGTAGTAGTAATCAGTTCTAGTAGTACTACTACTATTAGTTTTTTTAGTATTATTTGCAGTAGAAATACTTGGTAACAGTAGTAGTGGTAGTATCAGTTGTAGTATTACTGCTAGCAGTAGAAATAGTACTATTTGTAGTTACATTACATTACAGGTCATTTAGCAGACGCTTTTATCCAAAGCGACTTACATTACACTTTAAACCCATGGCTTTGTCACATTTTTGCCCGGGGAGCAATTAGGGGTTAGATGTCTTTCTCAGGGACACTTCGACACGGAACATGGGGCAGCCTGGACTCGAACCACCAACCTTGTGCTTCCCAGCACACCTTCTCTAACCCCTGCCACAACAACCCGTGTAGTTGTAGTTTTGGTGTTAATAGCAGTATAAATATTAGTGGTAGTAGTAGTTTTTGTAATAGTAGTAGTAGTAATCAGCTTTAGTAGTACTATTACTATTAGTTATTTTAGTAGTATCAATAGTAGTATTTGTAATAATAGTAGTAGCATTAGTAGTGATTGTAATTGTAGTAGTATTAGAGAGAGCAACAAACAAAACAGCTGTATACCGAGTTAAAATGTTAAAATATAGATCAATCATTGGGGCTTTTATTTTGAAATGATGGGATTGCCTGATGAAGAGAGAGGTTTGGGAGGCATAAATGGAATGTTTAACATTCAAAGTGAAAGATTTTAAACGATAGGCCTCATCACAAGTATTAACGTTTGAATTCCCTTCAAAGGGCTTTTATTTTGAAATGATGGGATTGGGGAGAGGAGACAAAATCAGACTGTTTGGTACACTAAAAAATAGTTTATTAAATGATAGTTCTCCTCACAAGCATTACAGGTACAATTCCATACATGGGGTTTTGTTTTGAAATGATGTAAGTGTGTGTTAGGCATGTGGGGAAGGAGAGAGAGGGGGGGCCGGAGGATGGGACGGGCATGACGTCAGTATCAGAGGTATGCAGAAGCAGAACGCTTTGAAAGTTAAAGTTAAGGAAGATTTGAGAAATTTCTCGATAAAGAATCATTTTAAACAAAAATATGAATATTGCTTAATATTTCAAAAAACATAATTGGCATTCCAACTATGACATTCCTCAATTGTACTTTGTGTTTTATACTTTTTCAACTACCGTATTTTCCGACTTAAATCTGCCGCCTGCCAAGGGATCCTTTTAGAATAACTTATTGTCCCCGTTAAGATGGTTCAGCTACTGTAAAGAAAAGGGCACCGTCTCTCGCTCTTTAATCTCATGAAGTGCTCGGCAAGAACGACAGCTTTGTTTCTCCGACGCGCCCTGAAACGAGCTCCATATCTCACGCGCTTGAGCACCGCTCAGCATCTCGCCGCCATAGACCGAGCTTTGGCATGTTTGGCGCCTTGAGCGGCGTGTACAACCAGTATGGATCAACCGATTAACCAATTGATCCATATATATAAAGCGCCGGATTATTATTATTATATAAATCACTGTCGTTTTTTGATAAAATTAAAGGCTTTTAAGTACGCCTTGGAGTGCGGAAAATATGGTAATATGCTAAACTAAGATGGTAAACATTGCCCCTGCTGAACATCAGTGTATTAGAACTGTTATCATGAGCACGTTAGCGTGTTCATCACAGCATAACGGTCAACAATCTCCTGAAAAACCGGACGTGTCTCAGACTCTGACCCTTTCCTAATACTCTTTAAATGTATCTTCTCTAACCTGTGGTTCTGGGACAGGGAGTGACATTCTGAGAGAAACATGGATGTTCTCTGAGAATAAAGTTGTAAATTTACAGGAAAAATCTCAGATATTCTCAGATTATTAAGTACAAAATTTGCAAGAGAAAAAAACATACAAATTCCCTGATTAAGGTCACAAATGTATGAGACCATACTTTAACATGACCATACTCATCCCAACACAGAACTCAGTTAATCACAACGGGGTTGCACACCTAAAATATATTATTCTAAATGTTTGTTTATTAAAAAACACTGAAGGAAAATGAAAATATGTATTCTTCAGGACCATGGCCTTGTTCACATCTGAAACAGCAATCTTTAGGTATTGCTAGGATAGGGATTTTTTTGGGCAGAGATGATTTTACAATCTCTCCGAAGAAGCTAGTTTCCTTCTCATAAATAATTACGTTTTTTCTTGTTTTTACAACTTTTTTTTTCCCTGTCTTCCGACTCAATAATAATAATAATAATAAGTAATTAGTGCAGTAATTGTAAATGTAGTACAGGTTCATACACAAACACTAAATTGTCTTCAATGAAATAAATGTCATCCATTTAAACGATAAAGCACCCAGGGGACTATAAAATGGTTTAATCACCTATATGTGGGGGCTTTTCGAACATGAAACTGCCTCAGTCTTGAAATGAATCTCCCCTAATTTACGCCCCTGCTCTTTGCTGTCGACTCAGTGCCTCCTAAAAAGTAATCTCCCTTGTGTGACCCTGTGACAGGCTCTCTGGATCACAAGAAGACATGGGATTTAAGGGCACTGACATCATGCCTCTGGCTCGACCTTCCACACCCACACTGGCATTGGATTTCTATAAATCGTTTGACCCCACTACTCTGGTATCAACGACCCGTTACGCCTGTCACATTTAATTTATGGGCTCACTTTGAGGAAGTGGTGATCCCGAGGTGAGGAGGCCTTCTTTGTCCCTCTGCACTCGCACACACAGACATTCTCTCAGTACGTATCTGTGAATGGGGACAGTGTGGCGGTGAAGTTCAAACAGTACGAGAGGACAGTCATCTGTCATCTTTGCAATGGCTCAAAAGAGAGAAGGCGCAGGGAAGGGGGGGGGGGGGGGTCAAATACAGGAATAAGCTTCAGCAGAGTGACCTCTCCTGTTTCCTCTCCCTCTTCTCCCGCCTCACCGTGTCCGTGGGGTCCGCGTCGGGGCGGGTTGAGAGCCGGCGTCAGCGATTCTCTGTGGAGACTTTCAGAGAAAGAGGTGAAAGAGATGCAGAAATAGAAGTGTGTTTGCTCACTGGAAACCCCCACGTACAAGCATGCAAATACATCTTGCTCAAACTTCCAGTGTCGGGATAGAATTTAGGGGGTGGCCATAGAGGGTTCTCGTTTGTTTTAAGTGGATTTGTTCCACCAGAGAATGAGACCACAGATTAAAAATAGGATCAATTTGACCAAAATCCAATAACTATCTCACATCTCATTTAAACGTATTTTCAACCAAATCCAATTAAATTACAAAATATACTTATCCATTAGCTCAAAGTAATTTCTGTGTGCCATTCTCCCGTCGGAGGGATGATCGTGGTAAACAAGCAGCCCTGCAGCCCTGCCTTGCTCTGGTAGGCTGTTCTGAGCCATTGGCCAGCACTTCGCAGCCCCCACCCCGTCCACAGATCCTCAATCGGACACTTGTCTCCTCTTCGTCTCCTGCACAGGAATAGCAGCAGCATCCCGCCGTCCCACAGGAATCTCCTTGCACATGGTTCTTTCCATCTTCCATGCCGTGGCCCGTTTTTTCATCTCCTTTTATTCACTTTCTCCTTTAACTGCTGACCCCGTGAAGGGATATGAATATGTGCTGGGTTTGTGTCATTGATATTATTAAATAAACACACCATTTGCTCCTATTCAGAAACTCCTGTGTGTGATTTGCAGGAACAGTACAGAAGTTGATTGGTTGCTGTATTATATTTAAAATGATTCCCTCTGTGTCCACTGGGTCTGTCTGATTTATTCATTTTGCCTTTTGGACAAACAGAGAAAACAATACGCTTGTAAATTCTTCTCTGAGCTCAGCACCAATTTCCTGGCAAGTTAGAGTTGGCAACAAGCAAGGAATTTTAAACGGCATCTCATGCGGACGCTGTGCATGGCGCTCCAAGAGAATATTTGGATCAAGCTAACAATTTATCTAGAATCAAACGGGGAATTTTGCTTTTTTTTTTTTAAGTGGCAATATTTCTTAAATGCCTTGATTTGTCTTTTTGTCCACAATTAGAAAAGTTGAGCATGTCTCCTGGTGGCAAAACTGCGTCTCCCTGTGATTTACGGGAGTTGGATGGCAGCTCCTGGAACAATTTGTTACAATCCACAGGAGGAAATGGCACACGATGCATGGTGCTCCATCATGTGACATCTCTTCACACCTGAGTTAATGGAATTCAAAGAAAAGACTATTTATTTAATGTTTAAGATGCACACTTTGTAATTAAAAGCTTTCTGTTGATCCTCTTCCAGCCTAAAGTCCCCTATATAAAAAGGGACAAAAAACTGGTCAGAACCGAACCAGAACCGACAATTCAGGTACTCATGAAAAAATATCTGAATGCTTCACCTGATTGGAAGCATTACAGTCTTGGCTACAGTATGCAATGATCAATTTTAAAATAATCCAAGCAACTTTAGCCAGTGTAGTATTAGTAAAAT